TCGTGCTTGGCCGTCCGCATGACCCTGACGACCGTGCCCTCCCCGCCCCAGCACCCGGCGGCCGTGCACATGCCTTGGCGGCGTGCCCTCACGCCCGATGGTCACAGCCTGCTCGGCAGCTCCCGCGAGTGTCTCTTCTTCTCTAAGCGGGGGTGACCGAGCACCAGATATATGCTAAACAGAAGAAACATGCACTTGGACTCTTATAATTCTGTGTTATGCGATCTTCTAGAGGAAGAATCGGTTCATCATCTTTTTGTTGATTGCCCATTTGCAAGGATGTGCTGGGATATAATAAATGTTGACATCCCCTTGAGTTGCAGTTTTCCAGAGTTGACTTCCTAGATTAAGATCCAGTTGAACACTTAGTTTTTCATGGAAGCTATAATTCTATTGTGCTGGACCATTTGGACAGCAAGAAATGATCTCATTTTCAAAGGAATCAGAATGAACTTGATGGACTATCGGAGGGCCTTTTTCAAAGAACTAAGGCTTCTTCAGCGCAGAGTAAAGGCTAGACAAGAAGATCAGTTTTCATCATGGATACGAAGTCTGGAATAAGCAGTAGCCTGAAGCTAATTTTGTTTGTTTCTTTTTTGTTTCTTAAGCTACCTGTTCTTTCCCTTCCCTTTCTTTTTTTGTAACTACTACTTTTGTTTAAGTTTAATCAATTACTGTAGGGGCTCCGGTCCCTCCAGACTCAAAAAAAAAAAACGATGGGTCTCTGTCCTCACTAGGGCCCACCAGGGCAAGATAAAGTCATTGTTTTTAGCTTGACCTTCACAAATTCTTTGTATCAGCAGATTTTAAGAGACTCCCTGGATGAAACCTGCCTCGTTTAGTACAAAATGATTTTAAACGGCTCTAGAAGCAGCGGCGGAGGGGCGCGTGGAGACGAAAGCGACGGTTCCGGATTCCGGATTTGGGACGACGGGAGGAATCCACGGATTCTCGTCAGTCCGAGGAGAGGCGAAGCTGCCGTTGCCTTTGCCGCGTCACCGCCCCGTTCTCCTGATTGGCTGACTCCACCGCGGCGCACTCGACGCAGACACACACCACCTGTCCGCGCCCCGCCGCACCCGCCTCTATATAAAGCACGCCCGGCACACGGCTCCGTCCCCCACAGCAACCTCCACTCCACCACCTTTGCCATCCTCTCCCGTTTCCGTAGCACCGCAGTTGTAGCGCCGCGGCAGAAGCTTCCACACCACACGCAGACGCAGCAGACTAGAAATTAAAACATGTGTGGCGGCGCGATCATCTCCGAGTTCATCCCGGGGCGCGACGCCGCCCGCGGCGGCAAGCGGGGCCTCTGCGACGAGGACTTCTGGCCGCACGCGGCCACGGCGGCCGCCGACTTCGACGACTTCGCCGCGGCCTCCTTCCATCCCGACCAAGGTAATACACATGTTCGTTTGCACACTTGCTACCTGTGACGGCCAGCAGGGCACACGCACAGACACGCTACAGCTAGGATAGGACACACACTCGACCGCCTGACCCTGACACCCGTACATGGTGCAGAGCCGCCGGCCAGGAAGCGGGAGCGCAAGACCATGTACCGCGGCATCCGGCGCCGCCCCTGGGGCAAGTGGGCGGCGGAGATCCGTGACCCGGCCAAGGGCGCGCGCGTCTGGCTCGGCACCTTCGCCACCGCCGAGGCCGCCGCGCGCGCCTACGACCGCGCCGCGCGACGCATCCGCGGGGCCAAGGCCAAGGTCAACTTCCCCAACGAGGACCCGCCGCCCCACTATGACGACGACATCCACGCCGGCGCCGCGCAGGGGATGCTCGCCATGTCCTGCGGCGGCGGCAGCAGGGACCACCTCGTCGACTACGACGTCGACGTCATGGGCATGGGGACGACGTTCTTCCAGCACCACCCGCAGCCGTCGTACGTGCCCGACGCCGTCGCCGTGGCGCAGGACCAGGCGCCCACGGTGGCGTACGTGCACCACCAGCTGCCGCCGCAGGTCGACGCCGCCGGGATGGAGATGTGGACGTTCGACGCCATCAACACGGCCGTACCCATGTGATAGACAAGACAACGGATATGCTACCTGCTGCGTCCTGCTTTGTGCTTCCCCTTACTTGCTAGTAGCTTATAAACACGGGTTGTTGCTTTCGAATATTAATTTATACTACGTAGCGTGCTCGTACGTTGATACAGGACAACTAAACTTTTATACTAAAAACACATATATCGCATGATAAAATAATAATACTATAAAATTAAATACGGCCGTTAAAGTGACATTTAATTCAAAAAGCATAGTTCATGAAATTAATACGGTTACATGAAAAAAGCGTCGTAGTCTATCTAACTCTACTGTATAGATCTTTCCGCGCGTTGCAACGGGAATAACGAAAAATTTCACGTGATGTATGTTGCTTGGTATTATTCAAGGACTCCGTCAAGCCAAAATTAAAATATTTAGAGTTCATATCTCTGTGTTGCTAAACGTTTGCATTTTGTGTTGTTTTATCGAGAAAACTTCGGGTCTATTTGGATGTCTTAAGAAAAATAAAAATATGGTGGAAAAATGAGAATGCGATCTAAACAGTTAGACTCTAGAATTAGATCGTAAAATCCAACTTCTACCACAAGGCAATACTATTTGACGATTTGCACTATGCTAAGATAATAATCACTGAGAATAAGATCCAAACACTCATAATTTTATCTAGAATCTAGATTCATAATCTAGAGTCTAAAATATCGCTACGAGCATGAGATCCAAACATTGCCTTCATATCATCCTAATATGCAATCCATGTTACCAATCTAAACCTCGTAGTTTCTGATTGAGATCAGGCCCAGTGCTGAGCTACTTATTCTTAAGTCTATTACCACCAAATAATAGCAATAAAACTTATGATTCATGAAAGAGGATGATAAGTCCTAGCTTAATATAATACAAGGCACAAACTGTGTTTAGCACATTGTGATTGCCAAAAAAAGCACGCTTGTACCTCAATCAATCCTAAATGAACTCGTGCTAACGCCACAGCGATATTTAAACCACCAAAACATTATAATCACCACCAAGTTGAGTCTCCCCATTTGGAGGCAAAAAAATATTCAAGGGAGATGGCTAAAGTGACTAAATCGATGCTATATAATGACATCACATGAACCTACATTTAGATGATAAACATGCTATTTGGCATATATGTGGTCGGACTCCAAACAATGTGCATAACACAATATATTTAGGAACAATGGACATATGCCAAAAATCAGTATCATGGGTCAATCAAATGGCAGGAACTGAATTCATGGCTAATCCCAACAAAGAAATAGGTCACTTGCCTACAGGTAAGGACAGAGCATTGACACCTTTATAGAAGAAACCTAATTAGAAATAAATAATCTGTTGCTAAGTTGACCACACCACTTTCATTTTTCGGATTACAGTGATAAGTCGTGAAAATCACTCTATCAATAAAAATATATAGTTTTCCCCAATCAACTATTTTCTACTGCAATTCTAATGGCCCGCATCCTGAATTATCATATAAAAATATAGTAAACTATCACAATTGTGACATACAAAATATAGTAATCAAAACCTCTTCTGATTATAGCACAGCAAAATGGAAATTGGATAAAAAAAATTAACTCACAGACTATACATCTACATACACACCAGGACTGATGAGCAGCTGTAGATCGAGCCAGTGCCGGAGTGGAGCGCACGGCCCTTGCGGCGTCGAGGCAGCGGAGTGGAGGCGCAGGGTCGCAACGACCATGTATCTCTGCGCCGCAAATTGAGCCAGGAACAACTAATGGTGGATCACGGCATTATTTTTTCTTAATGGTGTCTGAGTGAATACCAAAACGACTAAGCAGAAACATGGACAAATGCAGTTGATGCAATTTCACAGAAAAAACAGCTTCGGGCAGTCATTGTAGTCTGGTAGAAAAGGAGAGAAATACCATGTATCCATCTCACATATCTCCCCAGTTCGATCTTCGCGATATTTTTCACCTTTGTGAAATCTTCATGTTCCCGCAAGCTAGCTACATCAAGCTCCTTATGTCCTTGCTACCAAAATGATTGAGGTCAAATGAGCAAGAAATATTTTTTGAACTGAATGCACAGAGAGCTCATGCCTCAACTAACATTCAGATAATAAAACTAAAACCCTAACTCTCCCTCATCTCTTTCAAAGGCATATTTCTAAAATGTCCTACACTCTCTATGGCCTCATAGCTGAGTATATATGTAACAAAGGAACACAGTGTGCTATCTACTTTCACCAGGAAATAAAATTAAGAAAAAAATTTATCGTTATGAGATGTGGGAGAAAATTCTTGAGAAAGCCAAATCTCAAATATGGACCAACGTGTCAAGCAAATATATCATGAATCTAAAACCTCAAATGGAAGTTAGAGTACTTGTTTGTGGCTGGTGCGATATCCCATTCCCATCCTTCCAAAACTCATAAATTTTTTCATGTATGTGACACACTTGAATGGTCATGCCAAGATTGAACATCAAGTAGAGATCTTGAGCAATTGAACAATACAAATTTTCAATGAAAAATCCATTCCTCCTGCGTAGTGAAAAATATCAAATGGAAGTTAATAGTTCTTGCAGTTACCTAGCTCCAGTAGTGTGATAACAACACTAACAGCATTTCTTAGTAGTGAAAAATATTAAGAAATGATGTGACTCAGAGTCAGAGACCAATGTAAGAATATATGGAATGACGATATTGGGAAATAAATAGGAGAAAAGGCATAATCAAGCAATGCATAAATAGTATAGCAATGACTCTTGGAAGAAAGAAACCAAGAGTATTGCCTTGAGAAGTGCAGTCAAGCTCTTCATTAAATATATGATATACCAGTTTAGGTGTCAAATATATTGCTATTTAAATCCAAACAAAAAAATAATTGAGATGTCAGGCAAATACTAAATCCTTAGTTGAGATAAGCCTTAGACCACTGAGACATTTAGTCAAGCAGGTCCTATGCGTGGTTATCATTGCATTTAGCGTATTATGTCGAGTGCCCTCACCTTGATTTGTTGTAGACCTTGGATATTAGGTAGTCTCGCCCATTCAGTAGCATAATGGCAAGAATGCATCCAGCACCTAGTAGAAGGTCTGATGTGTGTGCACTGGAGTTCGACCTCAGGACACGTTGACCTTGCTTGTTGTGCTGGAGCTGTGCAACGTCTGGGCGTCAGGCTTGGCTTTGATGCGTCTATAATTTTTGTGCCCTGCAAATGCATAACCTAGTACCAACTCAATTTGCAGTAAACATTAGCAAGACACCTGATGTGATTTCCATCCGTCCCAAAACCAGAGAACTGAAACGGGCATCGAATAAATCACATCTGAAAATATATCTGCACCACCACGAACGAAGACTGAAACATGAAACACGCTGCTTCTGATGCGTGCTACATTTTCTCAAGACAAATACCACAGGTGATTGGACTGGCAAATACAAACTCAAGAACACGGATCCGATCGTTGAGTCAACAGAGGACAAGCAATCTCCAGGAAAACACAGGAATAGGTCGTCAGACATCTAGAAGGCAGGAATACATTCCAGAAGAGTAAACCGCACATCTCGCCAATCATTGGTGGAGATTTAGATTTTGGAGATGCAGGCGAGACGGTGGCAGAAGCCGGTCGGCAATCGATGGCTCCCCTTGCTGCCACTACCACCGAGCGGAGGAGCAGCTGCCTGGTCTCTAAGAGGAGCGGAGGAGCAGCCGCCCGCATCGAGGCCGCCTTCGCGGTCGTGTCGCTCCCCGTTGCAGTCGCGTGCGCGAGAGAGATGGAGAGCGAGGACGTCGAGGAGCGACGCACGGAGCCACCGAGAAGGCTAGACAGGGGTTCCCCAGCTCTACGCGGCCGCCGGTGGCGCGACTAGATGTGGGCGACGATGGTGGGCGTGCGGCAGCGGCACAGCCTACTGCGGGCGGCGGCGGCACGGCCTGCTGCGGGCGGGCACGGGGGCAGGGTGGGCGCGATGGGGGCGCGGCGGCGGCGCGGCCAGAATCACGGGAGCGAGCGGGATCTCGCGAAGGGGAGCACACGCGCGGGGAGCGAGCGGGATCTCACGAGCGGGCGTGCAAAGCGGAGGAAGTAGAGCGACGAGGCGGGCTCGCGTGCAGTCGGCCCCACATGCCGGCGCCTTTCATCGGAGTCGCGGGAGGGTATCGCACGGATGGAAAGGAGGAGCGACCCAAAAAAAAGTCGCACGAAAAAATAGTCTTACTTTTGTTCTTTTTAGTTATAGGAGATATATAGGTAGCGTGCCCGTACGTTGCTACGGGACAACTAAATCTTTTATACTAAAAACACGCGGATCGCACGATAAGATAACAATACTGTTAAATTAAATACCGACGTCAAAGTGACATTTAATTCAAAAAGCAAAGTTCATGAAATTAACACAGTCACGGAGAGCGCGACGTGGCAGGCTCACAAACTCTACTGTATAGACTTTTTCGTGATACGGCTAAGATAATATTTTATATCAGCAGAAAGAATTCTACGATATCCATTTCTTTCATGCGCCAATAAATCTATGAATAAGTTCCACTGCATCACCATATAATCATGTACACACAGGTTCGAGTATATATGTAAATAGGTTCGTGCCTGTACGTTGCTACGGGACAGCTAAATTTTTGTACTAAAAACATACGGATCGCACGATAAGATAACAATACTGTAAAAGTATATGACCGACGTTAAAGTGACATTTAATCTAAAAAGCTAAGTTCGTGAAATTTACACAGTCACAGAAAGCATGGCGTCGTAGGCTCACAAACTCTACTGTGTAGATCTTTTCGTGATGCGGCTAAGATCATTTTTTATACCGGCAGGAAGAGATTTCTGATATCCATTTCTTTCGTGCGTCAATAAATTCACGAATAAGTTCCACCACATCTCCATACCATCCTATACACGGCGCTGGCAAGCGAATTAGCCACAACTTATGTAATTAGTTTTATAATTAGCTCATGTTTAGTCATCCTAATTGATATCTAAAAATTCAATGTGACATGGACTAAAGTTTAGTCCTGAGATTCAAACACCCCCTAACTCTCGATGCTCACTTGCACCACCATGCCTATATGTCTGCACGTATATACTCTAATGCCAAAACGTCTAAAATGATCTTTATTGTCCACCCTTTGAAAATATCATAACTTTAAAGTTGCCATTTGTGTATGCTGTAGGATTAGGATGTTTTGCACTGATCCATGAGGGTGTCCATGAGAGTCGAAATTTTTGATGCCATTATGATGTCTAAGCTTACCAATCAGACAGAGACGAACTTGATCATTAAAATATTTTCAACATTGCTTTCATATACTTCCTCTGTCCCAAAATAGAATTTATTTTCGCTTGCTTTCCGAGAAGTCAAATTTTTTTTTTAACTTCGATCAATTATATATAAAAGAATATTAATATTTATAATACATAATTAGTATCATTACATAGACCATTGAATATATTTTCATAATAAACTTATTTGAAGATATAAATGTTGCACGTATTTTTTACAAATCTAGTCAAAGTTGAGAAAGTTTGACCTGCACACATCCCATAACGACTTATATTTTGGGATAGATGAAGTATATGTTAATAGGAGTAGTCAACTGAAAGTCGTGATGAACAAAACAATACTTCCATATTATATGCTAATTGGAGCACGAAGAAACGCAGGGGAATAGACCTATATACGAATGGTGGGAATATTCGTTTAGAAAATTGCAGAAGGTTCACCAGTCTCACAATGTATAACCGGCACATCTTTTATTTGACACCACTAATGTTCTCAAGGAGCAGCCACTTTTTAATTTCAGGTCTGCATGCTGAAAACACTAAATTTAAGGGCCAACCTCATTGAGTCGTCTTGATTGATCTTTGCCAATTGTTTTCTTCCATGCATGATTATTGTTTCCTTCCATGCATGTGGCATCTGGTGATCGATTTGTTTCCTTCAAAGCAGGCGGGAATCGCAGGGATGACAATTTCTTTTTCTAACGCGTGAGGTATCGCATGGCCGGAAGGGAGGAGTCTTGCTTGATCTTTGCCAATTGTTTCCTTCAATGCATGATTATTGTTTCCTTCCATGCACGTGGCCTCAGGTTATCGATTTGTTTTCTTCAAAGCAGACGGGGATCGCAGGGATGGCAGCTTCTTTTTCTATCGCGCGGGGTATCGCATGGCCTTAAAGGAGTCTAGCTGCAGATCAACGATTTTAGTTAGCACAGATGAAGCAACTACAAAACAGATGAACCCTCCATTAACAGAAGAAACATAATGTGGCAAATTTTTTGAATAATGTAAGCACAAAGGGTTTCAAAGGAGGGAAAAACATACCGGAATAAACAAGTTCCATAGGCCCTCCTTTGCCAATGCTTTAAGATTTTCTTCTTCTGGATGAATTGTCCATCTTGAGGTTGATTGTGCATGTTTGTAGAACTCACCCTCCATTGGGTATATGTGATCTTCAATAAACTTTATTAGTTTCTTTTGAAGCTGCATAACCTTTTCACTAGGAACAAATTTGCCTTGATTCTTTTCGGAAGTTAAACTTTCTTCCTCTCTGAAATTCTTGCCACGGTGCTCCTGAGACTTGAAAACCTAAGTTGAATGCAAATGATGGTCAAAACACAAATAGCCTACACAGTATCCACAAACAAGACTCCGCTGCATGACAGGAGGTTGTAGATATGAAATTACTGAACACAATTACCCTTAGAAGGCGGTTCTTGCAGGACATTTACTCTATTTATGAAGTCCCAGGCGCAGTCAACCATAACGTTACCAACCCTGCCAGCAAATTTAGCGCGCTCACCACCTGAAGCATTACCCTGTGTGCCAGCTCAAGTAAATGAGAATAAATAAGAAGTCTTGGCTTCCAGATTTCAGGAGTTTAAGACATGTACCATAGTCCATCTGTGATATACTCCTGCATAGATTGATGCCCCACGAAACAAAGAAAAAGCAACGTAGAATTTCCAATTTGCAGCAGGCCAGGGTCTTGCCTGAGAAATATTTAGAACGAGTGAGGGAAAACAGCTAATAGAATGCGGCTTTTGCCAACCTAGAATATGTGAATTTGATGCTTACAGAGTAAGAGCAGTATACAGAAAGGTACTCTTCCAGTTGAGGAATCCCATCTGGAATGCCAGTATGTTGAAATCCTCCATAAAAAGTCCTTTCAGTGGGTGTTGCATCAATAATATATGGCTGAAAGGGGAAGTCATAAGAGTCAACCAAAACAAGTAACCTACCATTGTAGTGAAACAAAAAGCAAGAAAAATGCGACAAAAAATGGATATCTATATATTGTTATTGGGCATGGGGTATGGTACAACTTCAGAGGCAGTGATAATAAGCCCCCAAATATAAAATGAGACCAGTAAGATTAAGCAGCACTGTTTACTGCATTAGAGGGGCACTGCAATAGAAGAGAGATCAGATCCACTCCATTTGGCCAGGCTTTAAAGGGTTACACAAAACATCTTACACAACTCTTATCTCTAGCAACAGTTTCTATTGATGGCGCTGCTATGCAGTAAAAAGAAAAATATGGTACAAAAATCAAATATGCGCTCTTCTTTGAAACTAGCTCGAGCCTTGAGAGAAGTGAAAGTAAGTAAAATGTGTATTTAAATGAGTACACCAAACAGTATCACATTCAAATTTCAAAGAACTACCATTGTCAGAATATAGCACGAAGAGATATGATGCAAAAGGAATGCATTACACTAAATATAGGCGATTGATGCCTAACAATGTTAAAATAAGAAAGTACTTCATACCAAGCAGCTATAAGCAACATCACACATCTGATTCCCCAAAGTAGATAGTTCCCAATCAATAACGCCAATTACTCGATCCTGTATACAAGCAGATATAATTGTCTTACAAAACATGTAAAATTATATGCCCAACACAGACGAATGCACGAACACTTGCAATGACAGAAATCCAGACCTCTGTTGGATGAAAAACTAGATTATCAGGGCGGTAATCACCATGGACAAGACCTGTTCCTGATGCTGCTGAGGAATCTTCTTTTGGTACATGTTCTTTCAACCAACGAGCTAGATCAAGCATCCTCTGATAACGTGCAGGCTTCCCTTCACCAGTGGATGCAAGATATTGCCTCTCCATCTTTGTACCTGAAACACGAAACAGAAACTATGTAAACAGAAACAGAAACTATCTTCAAATGCAATGGAGTATCACAGAAAAACATCACACAAATCAATACAACTAGGAATCTCTTCCTTAACCTGAGTGATCAAGCTACAGTTGTCAGGCAATATCCATTCATGCAGAAAAGAATAACTGGAATCGATGCTTGTATCGCTTATAGACTAACAAGTTAAGAACAAATAAATGATTGCAGCTTAAGAGTACGTTCATTTAGACACGAATGAAGAGAGGGATATTTGTTTATAAACTTGTTATTCAGTAAAGGTTACTAAACTGAGGGAGAGAGAAACGGAAGGAGGAATCAGAAGAGTGAATCAACATGCATGAAATGAGTAATTAGAACCTACTTGTCTTTTGCAATAATTGTCTCTTCTCCCATACTTCTGCAATCCAATGGCATCAACATCAACTTTGTGTATAGTAGCCAAAGTTTTGGCAGTAGAAAAATATATAGCTCGCCTTTTAGATGGAGTCACCCCCTGTAAAAAAGGAACAAAAATAACAAAATCGAAGTTAGCACAAATAAGAACTTGATGTTTTGATAGTTTAAATTGTGTTAGATATATACTAAACATTACCGACGAAAAATTCTCGAGACAGTTTGAAGTTCTAGTCAGTAAACAAGTACATGGCTAAATGTGATAAACGAACAAGACTGGGAACACAAAACAAGCAGCATACCGGCAACGCGCTATCAGGATATATTATTCCTTCCAGATAATCCATTATATAGAAAGGAGTTCCAATTACACTTGCATCTGTGCATAGACAATAAACCTTCGGGACAGGAACATCTGTGTGATCACCCAGAGCTTTGAGAACCTGCTTCCCGATAGGAAATGAATCACTGAGTAAGCTCATATCCTTAATCAGAAGGAAGGCAATACTTCATAAGGCCAAATCTCACCGCAGTTAGATAACTCAAGTGATTTTGGATAATCGCAAAACAATAAACTATCTAGTAAACAGAAATCAAACGTTCCCAGAGTAAATTTTCAACAATATACTGAAGTAAATTTTCAACAGTCTAGTAAGCCCAAAAGAGTACAATATCTAGAGCAGTGAAATATGAAATGCCGTTGCATTGTTAAACAATGAAATGCGATGGAAGGACATGAAAGAAAAGATGACAAAACAAAAAGTCGAATCAGTACTGATGCTGCCCTTTCTCTTCTTATATATACTGTTATCTGCCCTTTCACTGTTCCAATCTGAGCTTTCGACATCAGTACGACAAACCGATGGTAGTGGGCTGCTGGACGAGATGGGCCTCCGAGGATGAGCCTCAAGTAGGAAAAAGTCTATTCTAGCTCTACGAGTGCTAAAAAAAACTCTACAAGTTATTATCGTAATCTATTTTCTCTCTTCGAATTTCGAAACAAGACATATCTATCTATACCTTAATAATAAAGAGACAAAAGTTTAGCTTATTTTTTTCATCCATATATTTTTTGGGTCCGTCCTCCTCTAACTACTGGACAATAGAGAGTTTCTTCTGTCCGGACTTATATATAACCTGTGCTCGTACGAAATAGCTCGCGTCTAAAACGATATGGAGTCCGATTCTAAGATTATTGGGTTTCGTTATAAGACACGGACACGTCTTCTATATACCTATAATATATATATAATATAATACTAAAAAGGCAAAATTCCTGCCTTAATTTTCTTTGGTTATCAAACTTTTTCCGGCTCCGTGTGCCGTGTTTGTGTCATGTACTGTTTTGTTTTTCGGTTGGCCGTCGTCGGCTCCGTATCCATGAGACAAATATCCCGTCTCCATCGGCGGATAAGGGAAAAGAGAGACGCGTGACAAGAAAATGGAGAAGGGAAAATGAAGAGAAAAAGAATTAAGAAAAGAGAAAAAGAAAAAGAAAAAGAAAAAAAAAATCATCCATTCCTACTTCGCTTCGGTTTTTTTGTTTCCGTTTCTCTAATTCCTTTTTTTGGTCACCCCCCGTATTCTTGCATGGAATCACAGCTTCTATTTTTCTCTCTTTCCCTTATGGAATTCTAGTTTCTATTTTTCTCCCTTTTTCCCGTGGCGTGAGTTTCTGCTTTCCGTTTGGCAAAATAGCCGAATTCATCCCTAAACTATCGCGCTTGGCTCAATTTCGTCCCTCAACTATAAAAACGTCCGATTCAGTCCCTAAACTATCCAAATCGGATCAACTTCATCTATTCGCTTACGTGGCACACCACGTTGGCTCGCCTAGTCACCGCCCAGTCAGCTTAGGATGTAAAATACCCTTTTACCCTCCATAGAGCAGCTCACCCCCAGCTTCCGTCAATTAGAGGCACCCCCGTCCCCATCCTCCAGCAGGTCTCTCATATTGTAATGTTTGTTTGATATGAAATGATGTTGCGAGAATTATAACCATGTCTGCCGTTGAAATAATTAAAGTAGTGCCTTGTTCATTCAAAGTGACAGACCATGTCAATGTTTAATGCAAATGATACATGCGCCATGCACCGGGCACTCAAACTACATGATGCTCTTCTCTGATGACACTATGTCTTCTCCTATTCTTTTTTGAGAGGAGCTGCTTTCTCCTCCACGGCCAGCTGAAGTGGATCGAATTTTGGCTGAGCCGGTTCCTCCTGAAACATTGATGGTTGCCTTTGCAGATGTCCCAACAGCCGTGCCAGCACTTGTCTCGATTATAATAGATGCACTTCCACCGGTAGCTGCCTTTGCGGATGCTTCAGCAATGGCTCTGGATTTTGTGTAAGACAGCCTTTGTTTCTTATGGCCGGACTGAAAAAAATGGAAAGAAATTACTTTACTAAAATTGTCTTTTTAAATCACCTCACTGAAATTTGCTAACCTGAAGATAGGATGAATTGACAGATAAATTAGTGTGACTTGAAGATGGTACTAGACGCTTTCCTTTATGTTGCTTGGATTGTGCAGGTTCCATTGCCAATGGATTGATATTTGCCTGCCTTGTTGCATTGGTGGCATGCTGCTGTGAAGGATTGTGTGACCCCGAGCCTCCCTGCAGTTACACACCAAAAGTTAGCGCATCTGAAATCAGCAAACAAATAACACGATAATAAAAGGATAAACACCATTGTCACAGTGCATGTTCTGGAGTTGTGACCATCCCCTTTACACCGGCCACATTTGATTTTAGTACCAACTCTTGATGACTTAGTGCTTGATTTCTTTGGCTCTGAAGGATCTTTTCTCCTGTTTTTCTTTGGCCGGCCTAGCATCTTTTTCACTCTAGGAGGCAATGGTTTAGGATTTTGGGACACAGGCCATGCCGACTCATGCTCTACAGGTTGCAGGACATGTTGATATGTCCTCTTGTATGCCTCAAGAGAAAAACACATGTGCACATATTTATTAGGCTCTTCAGACATCTTGAACAGGGCAGCACAAGCATGTGCGCATGGAATCCCAGAAACTTGCCAATATCTGCATGAGCATGTCCTGTTGTTGAGATCTACTGTGAACCTCCATTTTTTATCTCTCACTTCAAAACCAGCTTCACCATTCCACAAGACATGACAGTACTGGGTCCTATGCCTGATCTTACAGACCTTCCTGATAATGTTGGGGCATATTTCCATTAACCACCTCTCATTGTTGCTCCTATTCTCTTGGATTCTTCTAGTCACAAGGATCCTTATGTCTTCCAACATTGTCAAGATAGGCTTGAACCTTGCTTCTATAATCCAACTATTAAATGATTCACTCATGTTGTTATCAACATATTCACAATTGGATCCAACCTTGAACCAAGCTCGGCACCAATGTATGGGGTCTGTATTCTGCAAAATCTTTCCATCCTCTAGGAGTTTTGTTGGCGATCTTATTCTTGTAATGATTAAACAACATCTCATTTGAAGCCTTCGCAATCTTCCAGAACCTCTTTTGGTACTCTTGTAGCCTATGTTTTTTTCTCCAGTTGGCATAAATGTGTCGTGCACACATCCTATGCTCAGCTAATGGAAACATCTCATTCACTACACTTAAAAGCCCCAGCATTAATAGATAACCTAAATGTTATTATCCAATTTTAAGGATCTCCGTGGCATACATGTCATAGGTTGTGGTCACAATTACCTTTTGTTGGTCTGTTATAAAAACCCATCCTTCTGCACCATAAGGGATATAGATATCTTTTTGAAGATGCCCAAGAAACCAACCCCATGAATTTTTGTTCTCATATTCGACAACAGCCCAGGCTATTGGGTAAATCTAATTATTGGCATCCCTTCCAACAGCTGACAGCAACTCACCTTTCATAGGCCCCTTAAAAAACCAACCATCAAGCCCAATAACTCTCCTACATCCATCCAAGAATCCCCTTCGACATGGATCCAAACAGATGTACATTCTCTGAAATACATGGTCAGTTTCTTCAGGATCTAGAGCAACATGCACACTGGTTCTAGGATTACTTCTCTTCAGCTCCAATGCATAGTCAAACAACTTTGAGTACTCGCCAGTCTGACAATCCATTATCTTCCTGACAACCCTTGCCTTTGCCCTCTTAATCATTGTGATTGACACATCGACACCCATGTCTTCTTGTACTATCTTCTTCATTGCTCTAGCTTTCCATGCTGGATTAGCTTTGATTGTACTCTCATACTTGTCACATATTCTTTTCGTAGATAACCTTTTATTTTTAAGTTCTGGGCAACATGCATGATTTGGATTATATGTCACAATCTGAAACCAATCTATCCTTGAGTTGTATGAAGCATGGAGAACCCAGGGACATCCCTTCCACATGCATATAGCCCTAAGCCTCTGCTTATCATTCTTGGGATATCTGATATTTACGTTCATCTTCAATGCATACCTTTCTATTGCATCTTTCAATTGATCCCTTCCTCTAAAGCACATATCCACAGCAAAACGTGGAGTCTCAGCATGACTATCAAATATTGGAAACCTGCAGTTCCTTCTCCTTGAAACACCATCACTGTCCTCATCA